AGCCTGCCAGGGTAAGCACTCTGGCGGGCTGCGTGCCAAAGGTTGCCGATCCCTGTTTTAGACAAACATTCAATCTTGATTTAAAAATCACCAGTGATGTAGAATTCACCATGACTATATGTAAATTGTTCCAATAGTTATTACCCTCTTTTTACTAAGCTTTCGGGCTAGATGAGAGTTGCATCTATGTATCTTAGGTATTTACATGGCCCCCATTACCACAGTAAGTGAGTGCCTTTAATGTATTTATCCTCAAAACATTCCTGTGTTTTGAGGATAAATACATTTTACAGATGGGAAACTGAGGCAAACAGAGAATAAGTTACTTGCCCAAGGTCACGCAGGAAGTCTACATCAGAATAAAGAACTGAACTTACATTCCCCAAGTCCCAGGCTAGCACGTTACCCACTGGACCACCATTCTTCTCTTGATTAGGAGACACAATGGTAGACAAAGTAGGTTCCATTTCAAGGTACATTTACCAGCCATTCCAGCTTTATGTATGTTATGAATGCAGGAGGACTTCCTTGTAGATGAAGTGGCAATAAGACTGGTTAATGGGAAGAGGTTGCAGGGAATGTGTGACATTTTATAGTTCTTTATTATTATTTATTATTATTTATAGGACAGTAATGCCCAGAGACATCAACTGAGATCAAAGCCCCAGTGAGCGGGACACTGTACAAACACATAGTGTAAAACAGATTGTAAGCTGTTTGGGACAGGGAACGAATTAAAAAGCCACAAGTGGTTATAACAAACTAATGTAGGGAATAGGGAACAGCAGATCACAATTAGGGGAACATGTGGTTACACGGATTAGCCATGTGCCAACTAGCTGGCTGAGTCAAATATGTATGAATAAAGCCACCAGGCTTTACATACACTGCCAAACCTCTCACTGACAGCAAAATAACAGCATTCCCAGACAAAACACCAGTTAAAGAAAAAATAGAAGTTTTTGTCATTAAGATTTTACTAGTACCTTGTGGTTATTAAAATAAAAAAGTGTCTGAAAATCAGAACAGCTTGGAGACAAATGGCCCTGCCACTAAAATATAGCTACTACAGAATAGAACATAGCAGCCATTTGGCCCAAGCAAGATTTAAGAGAGTGGGGAAGTGAAGTATCATTTCTTGATTTGAAATATTAGTCTGAAGTTTAATCAGTGGTACTCCAGCTGTCAATGGGCCAATATTAACTGTGAGTTAGGGCTGGTCTATACTTACCGGTTAGTTCGACGGCTGGAAATCGAACTTCCGGGTTCGATTTATCGCGTCTGGTCTGGACGCGATAAATCGATCCCGGAAGTGCTCGCCGTCGACTGCGGTACTCCGGCTCGGCGAGAGGAGTACCGCGGAGTCGACGGGGAGCCTGCCTGCCGCGTGTGGACCGCGTCTGAACCGCGGTAAGTTCGAACTAAGGTATGTCGACTTCAGCTACGTTATTCACGTAGCTGAAGCTGCGTACCTTAGTTCGACTTGGGGGGTTAGTGTAGACCAGGCCTTAGAGAGAGAACTCTGATGATCAGCTCTAGGAAATATCCCTTCTCCTGGCTACTATGTAGTTATAGGTCTCTACAGTAATCTTTGCAACATTAAATGCCAGACGGCCAATACAACAATAAACTAAACTGAAAAGGCCACTGTGAGAACTTGCTGAACATTACCAGCCATTTCTTGCCAAATAGAGAAGAAGAAAATAGCAGCTTCTCCCAGTTGTGAGAAGCAAATTGTACCAGCTGCTACAAAATGAAGATAAGCAAAGCTGCAAGTCTGTGGCTGAATTTAGAACTCCTGAGTCCAAGTCCTGTGCTTAATCAGCAGACTATGCACCTGCTATTCTACTGAATGTACCAGTCCAGGCAGAACAGGCATATGCAGAGAGAATGCCCTTCTGAGTCCCTGAATTTCCAAGGCATATCCACATGGTGTGCAGTTACTGCATGAGAAATTATATGTGCCACTCATGAATTAAAGCATCAGTTACTCTACTAGCAAATAATGTTTGCTAGCATTGCTCACACCTCAAAATGTGGAATGCTTTATGGGAGATCATTGGTCATGCTCCCCACTAATATGGCCTGCTTTATGGGGGATCTTTAGTGGCAGTAACAATTCAATCAACTCAATGATATTCACCAACACTAAGGTGAAGAAAGGGGCTGTTCCACCAATGACTTTCAGCAGTATCAATCACAGAACGAGGGATCACTTCATAGCAATCTGGGGCAATAGCTGCCTGTTTTATAAGAGTGGCAGGGGTCTGTGAGTGAATAATCTGTTGTGGCTCAGGCGCAGACAGCCATCTTGACACGGCACCCAAATCCTATGCTGAAGATGACCTTCCAGACAGGGCTGCAGTCTGCAGGAATCTGACTTTCACAGCTCTGGCTGCAACATGCCCCCAGAAAAAGGTAATAGAGACAACTGACTTACTTACCGGCTTACTCCATGCAGCTACAAGAATCTGCTGCTAGAAGGAATCCATAAGGAATCCCTTTGGACTGAAAATTCAAATCAGTAGGTAGCTGGTAAAAAGTTAGTTCCTGAAAATCGAAACATACTGATTTCACCAATAGCCAGCAGAGGGCACAAAAGGATTGCAGTTAAAAGCCAGCCATGCTTTCACAGTTAAGAGTGACACTTTCCTATTAAGTGTGGAAAAGGCTGGGCTGAAATACTCAGTACCTGGAGGTAACTGGGATTGGGGGGTGGGGGGGGAAGGTGTCCACAACAGAAGTGGGTGTGAAGTGGTGTTTGAAACATGAACCCAGACTGAAATTTTGCGATTGTCCCCCATATCATTCCAAAAC